GTGATAATTTATTCAGTGAGAATAGTATGAGAAAAGAATCACACTTGGGATGGGTCCGCCTGACCTAGAAGGCTCTTCGTCCTCTGTAGACTGGCGGATGACGTTTGATTTTCTAAATCATGACGTCATTTTTGGTTACATCAATTCCCCTGACACAAAAAAAAAACCCTGACACAAACACAAGTGATAGATAAATGTCGAACACAGACTTCAGTTAACACATAAAATCTTTTCGAAGTCAATAGGGCCGACATCATCCAATCTGTACTGCAAATTTCCTGAGTTAACACTGATAGTAGTTAACACTCTATTAGTAAAAGCTAATGCATTACGTATTATCTATTTCTAAAATCTGCTATATACATCAACACTGTTTTTATTTACAGAAATCTCAGGAGTCAGATTCGATTATAAATGTTTGTTTGTATGGCGCATGCGCATCACTGTTTGCCTTTTTATGCCGGAGGTGCCTCTCGTGCGCCCGCTTTCATATTGTCAGCGACTATCCCATAAACAGCAAGCCAAGCCTCTCTGGTCTCTGATGTAAACTTGTCTCCCAGGCCTTTTTCTAAGGCAAAGATCAGTGCTTCACCGACGGGCTGGAAATGATACAAACGCGTAAACTAGGTTAGCGTCAAATATGTAATAGGCCATTTGCAACAAACAGTCAACATGCTGATATATCACTTTGCTAACGAATCAATTCAGCCAAAGGTCTCTTTGGGCAGGCTCTGCTGGATAGCAAGCAAACTTTAAAAGCTTCGTGTCTTGAAATCGAAAGTATCTTATGAGGGGAAAAAGTATCTTGAAAAAAGGTTTTAGATATGACATTACTAATCCAGCAAAAGCTATTTAAATAAATGAAGTCCTTTTTGTTTTGTTATCCAGTAACGGTCATTTATTATTTCCCGCAAATGGCCTATTTATTAGGAATTAGCCGTTCCCCGGACTTTGATTAGCCAATAGGTTGCTCATAAGGCAGAATTGATCACGTGACCATTTGGTGCATACTGACATTTAGTAAAAATACACAGGTGATTACTGAAAATCTCGCGAGCCGATTGATCGAGAAACTCACACTATCACACGATAATCACCTCCAGCGATAATCCAAAATGGCGGCCAGCCGCTTTGTTGCTGTTACCGGAAAAATGTCTTTTATCTTCTTTTTTTTCCCCTCTTTTTTGAAAGGATTACCTGTGTATTTATACTAAAACAATTATTATAATCATCTTACCCCATAATGTTCTTCCTTGACATTATACTTGACGTGTGTAGAGCCCAGAGTCTTCAGAACGACAGCGAGAGCAGGAATGTCATCCAGTCCCTCCACGGCGCTCCCCACCATCTCCATGACGCGCCTGGCCTGGTTCTGGAAGCGTTCGTCATCTTTCAGTTTGTCGATTCCTTCGACATCTTTGAAGGAGAATAACTGCTGCATTTCGGGATGCTCGGTAAATAGCCTGAAACAAAATACGTCATTATATTAAAGTGGCTATGACCCCTAATTCAATGTTTTCAGCATTGATTCTACATGAAGATAAAAGTTAAATAATTAGCCCAGGAAGAATAAACCTTGATATCCCCAAGATGCATCACTCAAATCATATAATTTTTTTTTACTATTCAACTTTTTACTTCATGTAGAATCAATGCTGAAAACATTGAGTTAGGGGTCATAGACATAATTTACCATAATCAGCTTACCAAAGGGAACACAGAATCTAATAACGTTATTTTTTTAAATTGATAAATATAGGACCACACCTTCAGACGCAGTGCTGAAGCGTAGTATGGCAGCGCGAAGCATTTACGGCTATGCCGGAGATTTCGGCCCCGACACCGCTATCCCTGGATTTACAGACTGATCAGGAAGCTCGGCCGAAACCTAAGGGAGAGGTTAGTCGGCCCCTAGACCATAGATGATTAACCCCTTTTTGTTTTAGCTTCGCACCAGTGTCCCAAGATGTGCAAAAGGGACAGCATGGTGGTCTTTAGCAAGGGGGGGTCCTACATGGACGCCAGAGACACGCCGGGGTAATGAGCCCGCGCCCAGCATACCCAGTTTGTGTCTTGATTTAGGTGATGACTTTACACGCATTGTTACTCCTTTCAATGTGGGAGAGGAATATAGCCGTGAAGTAGCTCGTTGGCCTACAGCTCTAAGATATAACTGGCAAGTTTTATTTAGTTTTCACCTACAATATTTTTGAACCGCATCAATCTCGTACCAACAGCTCCTCTAACAAAATCAAGAACGAGATTGGTACTGCATTTTATCGGTTGCGCATGCGCAGCTATAACAACTGAAGCATATCAGTTACTTACTAGTCTGCCATCAAAGAATATAAGAACATGCGCAATAGGTAAATTACGAGCCTTGTATGAAACGACTGAAGAAGAGGGGGCCAATGGGCCTTTCACAACTTCAAGCCGCGTAAAAAATGAGCCAGCTCAGCTCAGCACAGCTGTCCACGGTTTTTTAGTTGAGCTGGCTCATTCTTTACGCGACTTGAAGTTGTGAAAGGCCCATTGGCCCTCTTCTTCAGTCGTTTCATACAAGGCTCGTAATTTACCTATTACGCATGTTCTTATAATTATGACTTCCAAGAAAAATTCCACACGGCTTAACGACTCATCTCTCATCAAAAGAATAATCTATTGATGAAAAACAACCTTTCCTTCCGTTTTAATATCTTTTTAATATGCGCAAACAGTTTCTATCATCACTTGTTTTGGAAAGTCATAGCTACTTTGGCCCAAACTGAGCCCTTCACTCATCCTCGTAGCAAGACTAGCAATGCCCTCCCGCCTAGTCCTTGATTTTTGTTTGAACTTGTTTAGTTCTATGTAGCTACTTAAAACACACTTAAATGATTGCTGAGGGTTATCTTATGACATTCTTAACCTGAAATCAAGACGTTAAGTCAAAGATTATCTCTGTTTTACGTCTTAGTGAGGTCCACCTACTGTAGTGAAGGTATCCAGTTCTACTTTGAATTCAATGGTCTTGACCTCATTGAGAATAGAAAACGAGTATACAAGCGTTCTAGAAAATTCGTTTCAGAAAATTTTGTAATACGGCAGCTTTAGAAGAAATAATTGCCCAGTGAACTTATAATATAAAGCAACAGTTTCTGTTTAGAGTGCACTCACTAAAACCGTGAACATTAAATAGTACTAATTAGTACTATTTCATACAGAATCCTTTGTTTTCTAATGTTTAATTATCACTATTTAGTGCTAAAAATTAGTATTTGTTTCACGGATTTTGTGTGAGCACTCTAGCAAAAAATAAACTAAATTGCAGAGATACGAAGCTCTGAGAAAGTTTTGCTTTGGCAAGACTGTAGAAAAGAAGTAGGTCAAATCTTTAATTCGAAATTATTCTCACGAACCTGGGCTAAGTCTTGACTGTTTTTGTAAGTTAGATTCAAGAACAAGGACTACGCGATGTAAACAGAAGCTATTATTACCAGTTTTCTGGTATCATTTATATATATATAGGTATATATGATTTGTAAATAGTTATCTTTATTTTTAAGATTGTAAAACGTCATGAGCACAGGATATGTGCACTATATAAATAAAATTATTATTGTTATTATTATTATTATTATTGGTTCTACAACACGCTTAAAACTGATAAGTTTGCAAGAAAGATTTAAGATGTCATCGTTAAAAAGAGTAAATTTTGCAGCTTGCATTTTATTGTAATACCGCAAAACGCAGTAAATAGGTCGTAAGCAACGAGACAGAAATATTTGCAAGGCTGGCCGAGTTCAATTCGTTGTCGAGTCAAATCGAGCTAAAACTTAATGCTAAATAAAAAGAGTCTGATTTAGTTAGAATTAAAAAACGCTATTGCTGGGACCGGTACTAACACTGGCATTCGTTGAATTGCGTTCAATATTTATTCGGCATGTGATTCGTTTTTATGGCAGGAAAAAAACTGAGAACACTATTGTGCGAGCTTCTTGTGGAAAGGTGAGTATTCCTGAACTGTTCCCGCTCGTTACTAAGTCATGCTCTAGTTTTTCTGATTCAGGAACAAGGTATTCTACTAACTTCCTTACCTTGTGTAAAACGTCATACCATGGTTACTGATGTCAGGCTTGACAAGCTCCCATGACTCTCTCACCAAATCAATCTGTCGCTTCTCGAGTGATCCAGAATTAGTAGTAGAATTCTTTGTTTTTACGCTCTTGCTTCCACCACATCCCATATTTTTCTTCCTTCGATGAACAGAGCAAGAAAACTATGATCATAAAGATTTAGGGTAAGCATAGGAAGCAAGTTGGTTTGGCCGCTGCAGTGTTCTTCACCGTTTGGTCAATAAATGTTGAAGAGCACTGATAGATTGCAAGATAAGTTGAGTGCTTACAGAAAAACACGTTAAAAGTGATTGCGCTGTTTACGAGTTGTAGAATTGTCCGATATAAGCAATATTATAGTGACAAATCCATCAGCAGTCGAGCAGTTGTGTTATTTGATAGTTCACGCCTGTAATAAGCACTTATCTCATGTAAGGTCAAAAAACGCGCGTAAGTGCAATACGCATACTAGTAAGGGAGCTTTCTTATTTTAGGAGGGGTGGTGGGCCGTATGAATCCAAAGGAGAGCCATTAAATTTATACTCAGTCAAAAAGGGGAGGTCATCAAATATTTCATACTTAAAGAAAGGGGAGGGGTAAGAATTCAACAAATTTCAGGGGGGGTCATTTTTTTATGCAGACAGAAGAGAGGGGGGCTAAAGATTTTACATTACTGTTTATAGGGATTCCTCCGGCCTACCTCCCCCTCCCCCGCTTCCTAAATAAATAAATGCTCCCTAAACGTATGTAAGGATACATCCCTTACGTAAAAGAAACCAAAACCAGTGCAACCCCCCTTCCAATATAATAAACAAAACAAAACAAACAAAAAAAAAAAAAGAAAAATAGCGCAAGAACTAGCGCATGCGCATTAGCATCCAGAATGCACTGTTCTTCCGTTCATTCTGATCAGTTTCTTTACTGACCAGGAGAAACGCAGGCTCATTGGACGAAGTTGTTACGGTCGTGTATTGAGCCAGCATCCCTACTGATAAGCAGGACACGAAGATAAAGAGTTTGAACTTTTTTCGATCAAGTCTCGTTTCCCCCCACATTTTCTATTATTTTAACGTAATTTGGCCTCGTAGTTAAAACACAACTTGTATTGCATGCAAATGAATTCTGCTAGTTAATTATAACCCCATCGTTCCCTTGTAAGCTCAGGTTTTTCAAGAAACAAAGTGCATCGCGCGCATGCCTTGCTGTAAAGGCCCACCTGCACCCAACTTCAACTCAAAGACGGCTTTGCAAACCAGAGCAAAGTCCTTCTGTTAAAATTTTGATAGAAATATGCCAAGTTTTAAATGATTGCGACAACTTTTTTTCTTGTTTGTACAACCAACACTCGATGTGCATGTAGTTGTTTATCAACCAAAGAATTACAAATGACAATAAGCTTTAAACAAACTCTTCCAAGACCATATCAACAAAAAAAGATCCTTATAACCAAACACTCACCTTCGTCCAAAAGTTTCCACGTTCGTGTTTTCCGAATGAAGTTCTAGTCTATTCGGCAATAGTTTTGATACGACGCTTGTTGCCTTAAAAATTATCAGATTTAATTCATTATTTACTATAAACAAACTTTTGAAGCCTTGGAAACGGTGAGATTACGACGACGGTTCTCCAAACCTATAAGCAATTCTTGAATTGTTACTTGTCAGGATGAATACAACGGTTGTCAATAAAGACATTAATTTTTGTTTCAATGCATAACCTCGTCCGAATTTGAATACCAAGATTATAGTAATGAAACTGAGGACAGTTTCGTTTTAATTAAATATTGTTATAAATCAAAGTTTGTCGTAACAGGGCGAAAAATAAAACAAGTTGTCATCTTTTAAATTTTCTGTTCTTCTTTATAAGAAAAATAAAATGATTTTCTCTGCAAAAGGTTCATTAAAACAAGTGGTTTAAGCCAGTTTAGTAGCTTTAATTTCATATTTATTGACTTTTCTAAAAACGTAATAAACGAGTAAAGAAAAAAGGTGTATTTTTCGATGACTTTAAACAATGGTTAGGTCATTGAACTGGGATTAATGTAAATCAAGTGATAAAAATACTGCAAAAGGAAAAAGTTTAAAAATAAATGCTTATCCAAGGCTCTCGGGAAATATAATAGTCTCTGCTTCTTTAGCTGAAATTTGCGAATGTTTTGCCGATCAGCTCGAGTGAAAAATATAATCTTTCCAAACTGCATATGTCAGCTAATGGACGTCAAGAATCTGGACATTCATAAAACCCTTCCAGCAACGATACAACGGATTTGAAGACATTTCCCCCGTAGTGTACGGCATCGTACCGCCGTCCCCTGTGCCACCGGGGTACGAGTTTGGCATCAAAAATCGGGCCCTCCATAAAACCTTTCCAGCAGTGAAATAACTGAATCAAAGACATTTCCCCTGTAGTGCACGGCATCGCGCCCACCGTGCCGGTCACCTGTTCCATCGGGGTACGAGTTTGATATCGGGTACACATCAAGGACCTTGATGCCCGCGCGACACATCGCCCATGTGGCGTATGAATTGAACAGAAGGATTCTCTATGAAAAAAAAAATTAGTATCACATTACATGACTCCAAAAAATGTACAAATGTTGATACATTGGTCGCCAAATAGAGCCAGCTGATCTGAAATAGTGACATAGCCGGAAATGACGTCAATGAAAAGCTGAGGTGTCATGAAGCCTGCCAAAATAGCCTGGATAAGATTTATCTTTCGGATAGCACTATCTACTCTTCGTACAACCTGCCCTTGTCGCTAAACTAAAGGCAATCCTTTCATTTTGTCGTAAACATTACGTTGCTATGGATACAAACCTGTTGTGTCATGAACCTCCTTCCCTGGTAAAACGGATTCTGTAGCTTATATCTATTTATAGCACTTGTTGATTTCCAAACCACGTTGCCTTGGAAACGCCGCCTTGAAATCCCGTCATCCTGCAGAGTCTCTGCTAGTAGATCAATCGTTTTGTTAACAAGCCTTTTGTAGCTTGTGAAGTTGATAGAAGCAACGAAGTGAAGACCGAAGTTTAAAACGAGTACACTTTTGCTTTCGTTCACTTCTGGTCTATAGAGAACAGTTTTAAGCTCTTGAATAATTCGTTCATGGTCAATGTCCATAAAGTTTCGCCTATTTTTTTCGATGGTCGAATTGTGGATGTTGTAAACCCAGTTGTACGTGAAGTTGCAATGCTTGAAGATTAGAGTACAAAGATGGCGGTATTGGATGGACTTGTAGAAGCGGACAGCATTGGAATCCCCGTAGATCCAAAGTACTCCTTCTCGCCTGCGAGGAACTGGATCACGAGGTATTGGTTCTATCGAGAGATACATAGTTACAATATAACGTGCGCTCTGATTGGGTGAATTAGATCCAATACAAACGTCGGACTTATGAGCCGAACCAAAAGGCATAAAAGAAGACCGCCTTATTACTATCTATTTGGCTCATGTGAAGTTCGACGTTTGCCCTGAGCTTTAATATACTCTACTTTAAGGCGTTTTGAGTCGAAAACAGCAATAGTACCCTTCAAAGTTCCCTGCGCCATCTTGAAAGGTAGCCGTGCCTTTACAGTGAAGCGAGACGAACAGTGAGCTTGCAATCATAGAGACTAATTCTTTGAGGTTTCGGATACCTGTGAAGACGGCGTATGGGAACAGTGAAGGGGACTATTGAATGATTTTTCAAACAGAAGGGAACCTGTCGGAAAGTTGCGGTGGACGCCAATCAAAATCATAAATTCTTCTTTTCCAAGTTACGTCATTTCCGCCAAGTTGGTGGTATTTAAGAAGATATTTTGCAAAAGCTTCCTTTTTTAGTACCACCAACATGGCCGCCATGTCTTCTCTGACTCTCTTGGAAATGATCGTTAACCATTAATATTATCAAATGAAGAACAATCCCCTTCACATCCCATCATCAACAAACCCCTCCCTCCCCTCCCTTACAATCACGATCCAAAAATATTTGTGATAAATACTAACCCGATATATAAGGAGCCCACGTTCCATTCGTCCAGCGTCCATAACCATCCCACAACAAAGCGCACTGATCGCCGCATGACACGTGGCTGTAACTGAGAAATTCTTTTAGGGGAAAAAAATGTATGAGAGGCTAGTCAGTGCAGAGCCGGTAGTGGTTATTCAAATTGGTCGCCATATTTCGATTCGATTTAAAAGTCAACAAATTTATCATTCTGTACTATGTACTCTTCTTATTCGTTTCTACTCACCATCCTTTCGCAGAGGTCCCCTCGCCTGTGGTACCTCTATAGCCAGGGGTATCCCTTGCCATAAAGGCTGATGGAGATAGTGACGCTCACTTCCCAGAATGCCTTGTTGCTGATTACTGCCGTGTTCATTTCCTGTAGAAAGAAAAATTGGTGAACTCTCGCACATGCGTGGTTTGTTTTCCCGCTTCTCGGGCATACGACAAGAAACAACAAATTCTGGGTATTCCACACTTCTACTGATTGTACGATTGGCTAATACAAGTACTAAGATTTGCCTTAAAAATTACGAAGCAGACTAAAGCTGGCTTCTGATTGACTTTACTACCCAGGCTTATTTCTCTTTCTTAATTTTCTTTGGCGCTCGGGATTTCTGTTTGCCTACCACAGGTAGCCCGACAATCATTCAAGAAATCCAGGTCTTAATTCCCCTTCTGATGATGGCCTTGATTTCGTCACACCATCCACTATTCTCACTGCATACATAATTAGCGTGTCACGTAGGAATTTAGCAACCCCCCATTATGGACATTGGAGTTTGCGCAGTGCGGGTGTAATGCTTTGCGACCCCTCCATATATAAGCGCCACACCCATATCCTTGAATCATTCCGTCGGAAGCTGCCTAAGGAGAGAGTATAAGATTTACCCCACCCACCTCCCCTGGTGGCGGTTGACGACGCATCGCATGCTTTTCGCATGCTCATTGCCAGCAGTCGCGGTCACCTTCCATATCTTAATTCCCGTGGCTCGGTAATGAGTATGCAGTGAGGATAAAATACTACTTCCCCCCCCCCCC